ACAATCATGTCATCTGCAAACAGGGACAATTTGACTTCTTCTTTTCCTAACTGAATACCCTTGATTTCTTTCTCCTGCCTGATTGCCCTAGCCAGAACTTCTAACACTATGTTGAATAGGAGTGGTGAGAGAGGGCATCCCTGTCTTGTGCCAGTTTTCAAAAGGAAAGCTTCCAGTTTTTGCCCATTGATTAGTCCTGTCTAGTGCATCAGGTCACTAGCAAATGTTATTAGAATCATTTAAGTTAATTTATTTAACAAACACATACATTGCTAACTCTGTGCAGGACATTGTTCCAAAGCATTTCACAAATATTAATGTAAATGGTAATATATTTAGTCCTTACAACATCTCTATAGACAGATATTACTATTATCCCTGTTTTACAGATGAGAAAACTGAGGCACAGAGACATTAATTAACTTACTCAAGGTCACACAGCAAGGAGATATTGAGCCACATCACTAGTCATATGACCTTGGGCATGTTTCTTAACCTTCAGAGGGTAACAAATATGAAATACTTTCACTCTTCAGAATTATCATTATATTAAAGTAGGTATAAAAATTTTACAGATGAGACAATGGAAGGTCAGGCGTCCTGAAAGGCTTGCCTTATGCCTAAGAGAGTGGCAGAGCTAGGATTAGAATTCGTGTCTTTTGAATCCACGGTTCCCTGTAGTGTGCTGTGGATGGAAGGTGGTAATAGTTTCTGATGTCAAAATCCATTATTGCTGCTCCTGCTGCTGTTACTGTTGTTATTTGCCACAGAACAGCCCCTACCCCATCCCAAACACAGAGAGAGAAAAATAACAATGACAAGAACATGGCTGATTCTGTATGCAGCCTGAAGATCTAAAGCCATGCATAATTTACTCAACACTGCCCTGCAGTCACTTAAGCTGAGGAGAGATCGCTATAAATTCAGGTCTGCATACCCTAATTTATTTCTTATTTATTTTACTGATACATATCTAGGGCCTCCAGTGAGCTGCTTCTATACCTGCACAAAGGCACCAGCAGCCCTAAGTGCAACTAGGGCAGGAAAGGAGACCTTGAAACAAGCCCTCGAAGAAAAACTGGACTCTACGCACTAGAATCATACAAGTTAAATTAATTTTTCTGGTAAACTGAAATTAAACCCATGCCCACGCTCACCCCCTATTTGTGAAACATAGGACTGAAAACGTTGTTAAATGTCCCGTTCTGCTTTTCTCTCTCAGTAAAGAGAGCATTAAATGTACTTCTTTCACGAGTACAAGATTATTTTTCTGAGTCACAGAATGTCAAAATATAAGCAAATATTCTAATACTAAGACATAATCAGAAAGGGAATGGAGAGGAGAAGAAAAAAGTCTATTTTCTTGAGTGATTACTGAGGACCAAATGTTATGCAAGGTGCTGTCAAAAGCAGAGGTAATGGCCATTGCAGTCTTCAAATGGAAAGCAAGGTAAGCTGGAAGAAATGTCAGCCATCTTTCCCCAAAGATCTCTTTTCACAGATGGTCACACTGTGGCCCAGACAGAGAACATGACTTGTCGGAGGTCACTCAGTAAGTTAGTCCCAGCATGTTCCCCTTTTAGCCTCAAACTTATTTCAAAACTCAGCTTGAGTCCTTCGAGAGCCAGCGCTGCCCTACAAGCTTTACTTGCATTGTTTCCTTTAGCCTTCCCCTCCTCCAATTAATTGTCCTTACAGATATGGACATGAGGACACAGAAAGGCTGAACACTGCACTCACACTGTTACATTCCTGCTGAAACTGAGCTTGAAGCCTGGGCTTAGCCTGTGCTTTTATGCACCAAACCTGAAACCTTTGTGACCACCTTCAAGACGTCTGCTTTTGTCTCCAAACTGCACTGACTAGGGCCATACAGGTAGATTCAGAAGGGCAGGAGGCTTCAGTAGGAAAAAGCTCCTGGCTCTAGGATGAGGCCTGGGCATGGGTTATATTTATTAACCCAATATTTATTTTTCTCCTTTTTTTCTTTTTTAACCCACCCAACAGAAGGTTATAATTTTGGCTTTTGGTTCTTGGGCTAAAACAGGAGAGGCAGAAAGGTCATTCTATCGAAGGTCAAGGTTCAGCCTTGCTGAGTTGTAGTGTCTGATCATTTTCTCATGCATCCCTCACTTCTGTAAATGGGGCACCTGGGCCTTGGGGACACAGACTCACCCGCAGAACATGAAGATGGTGCTTGAAGTGGCATCGTAGGGCAGAGGCAGCGTCTGCTGCAGGCACAGCTGCTCACAGCCGCCATTAAAACCATCAGAGCAGTCAATGCCTTTGGAGTGGTCGTAGCAGCCGGAGCCATCCTTCATGGGTTTCAGCTCCTCGGGGCACTGCTCAGAGAGAGGGCAACAGGGTGGTTATGGCTTGGGAGGTTGTAGGCCCCATCATCATACCCTCTCCTCCCTCCTGGAAGAGACATGTGTCAGGGATTGATAGAAAGGTATTCAGTCTCCTTTGGTCAGTTAATAGCTTTGTGACAAGTTCCACAAGTCCCTTTACTTCTCTGAACCTCAGCGTGCCCACCTGTAAAATGGGACTTTTGTGACTATCTTCTTATGGCATTGTGAGAATGAAGAGTGATAATGTCAGCAAAGTGTTGAGAACACTGGCTCACACGGCAACAGCATAGCAAATGTCAGCTGCTTGTTAATATTGACATTGCTGGGATCATACCCATTATTGTTTCTACTGTTACTGCCCTACAGGGTCTACTGTTAGAAAAGTCACATGGGGAGGCTGCCAGATATATTTTTAAAAGTCTCTACCAGTATGAGTTTAATTTCCAGCTTTTCCTCTTCTCACTACGTGACCCAGAGAAGTTACTTACTGTCTCTGAGCTTCAATGTTCTCATCTAATACATGGGCACAATGTCTACAACTACAGATTAGTTGTGAAGCTTTTTTTTTTTTTTTTTTTTTGAGGCGGAGTCTCGCTCTGTCACCCAGACTGGAGTGCAATGGCGCAGTCTGGGCTCACTGCAAGCTCCGCCTCCTGGGGGGAAGCTTAAGGTGGATCATGGGGGTGTATCCCTTACTTCAGAATTTGGCACATAATTTGGTACTCATAAAATGTGAATTGCTTTCCTTCCTGTCTTGAATTTGTCTTTTCTTCTCCACCCTTGTCCCTGGAGCCGTAAGTGAGATTCCTGCATACTCACAACATCATGGAAAGGGCTCCTAGCCAGTGTGCTGGACTCCAGTCAGGCCTTCTCAAAACCATCCTCCAAATGGCCAACAGAGTGCTAATTCTAAATAGCATCACTCCCCAGCTTAAATAAGTAAGTGAATCTTAAAACATGTGAATCTGCCGTAAACTGATATTCAAGGCCCTCCCTTTATAGAAAACCAAGTGCTCTGCTTGGCCATATGCACAGCCCTCCCCATAATCCTCTGGTCCCTAAGCAAACTCCAGAGAGTTCTACCTTCAATGGCCTCAGCTAGAATGCTCTTGTCAGTGGGTCTGGCACCTGCTATGCGCTCCTTTAGTGGAAAATCATATACTGTGGAGACAGATGGCTATTGATTTAATTTAGTTTTCTATCATTTGATGAGGCTGAGCTCATCTTCTCCATCCCAGCTGATGGAGAAGTAGTTCCAACACTCTTGCCTTCAGAAGAGAAAATGAGGTACTGGGTTTTTATTTCAGTCCTCCTGCTGGCATTTCTTGTCCACAAAGATTAACACCCAGAGCCCAGCCTTCCTCATCCATCACCGGACATCACTGATTAAAATGCCTTCCCACCGTGAGCCCCCACCGTCCTACTCCCTGCTCCGCTTCCCATGCCGTCACCTAAACAACACCAATAATAAAACATACACATAAAAATTAATTTACAAAAACCACAATAACAAAAAAAAAAAAAAGGTCAGCCCTCTTGGAAATTAAATTTTGTCTGAGAAGATTCTATAATTACAAATGCATGCAAGAGTTCTTCAAGACATTTG